GCCTCTCTCTCCTTCGACATGCACTCCTATTTATGACAGACCAATTCCACAAGCAGTAAAGGCAAACCTTCCACTCTTCTCTCTCAGATTCTTCCTCTTTTATTCCTTTCCCTTTCCCTTCTTTTTTTGTATTGTCCTCCTGCATCCTCTGTCATTGCTCACTTCCAAGAAAAAGCTGAGTCCGCACACACCAGCCCTTGACCGACCCACCACAGCAGACAGCAATTCCCATGAGCACACCCTCTACCCCAGCCCAGCAGAGGCACAGTTCAGCCCCACAGTAATCTATCAGGTCAGACTGGTGGAACAGCTTGCTGAGGCAATCCTGCTGGATTGAGATGGATGTGGACAGATAGAGGGCTACAGGGAGTAGAGAGTGTGAGAGCTAACCAGACACAAAGAAGCGAGCGAACGTATGAAGGACTGGAAGGCAGCAGGCAGCCAAGCCCGGCATCTCATGTGCTCGTTCAACTCACGGCATCCCCAGTGGAATAGTCCAAGCCAGCATAAGTGAGCCAAATCCTGAGCTCATTTTAATGGCTTCTGTCCCAAACCTGAGTCACTGGGGATTCCACGGACTTCTAAGAGAGCCCTTCATGCATTTCCAGAAACAAACTGCATGATGCCGTCATGGAAAACCTGGATCTTTGCATTCTACGGTTTCACTATGGATTACATCCAGGTCACAACCTAAGGAAGACAGCTGGCAAAAACCACCCTGCTGGCCGATCACCCAGCTTTTGTAATGAATCCCAGAGGGCTGTGAACCAATGTGCGTTTCTGGCTCTGCCAAGCCCTGGACAAGTCTTCATCTAGTGAAGACCAATCAGCCTGTGATTTATTCTGCAAGGGGAGTCTGAGAAGCCACCTGCAATCAAGACTCAGCTGCTAGAAGCTGCCTCCAGAAGGGAAAGGGATGGAGAACGTACATGTCAGTGGGGAGAGGAGTGAAAGGAAGAAGTTCTTTGTTTTCCTGTCAATTCAACTGCTAGCTTCCACTTAAAAAAGAAAAAAAAAATGCTCCGAGGAAACCCACAGTCCCACCAAAGTCACAGGACTGCTCTATACTGTCCACCTCTAGCACAGGCAGGCTTTTAAGGGGCCAGGGAATAGCACTGTATATAAGTTTGATTTCAATAGAACAACGTCAACTCTAAAGACTATAAAAGATACTCCTATTCCTTAGAATGAAGCAATTCTAGGAAACATAAAAAATATCCTAAAACCTGCCAAGAAAGCAGAAATACTTTAATAGTCACATAGCTACCAGTTATTTACTATAGCACTGTGCTTAAGCCTGTCTCATATAGTATCTAATTTAATCCTCAAAACAACTCCGGGGCATATATGTACTATTATTATACTCATTTTACAAATGAGAAAACTGGCTTAGAGAAGTGAGGTCAGTTGGTCAACATTTCACAGCCGCTTTAAGGTGAGGACTGGTCCAGGGCCAGGTGAGGCTTGAACTCTAATTGCTACTGAACACTGAGGACATCTGTGTACAAGTGCTTAGGAAATGTCAGCTGGGTGCCCACCATTAGGCTAGGCCTTGAAGGCAAGTCCTGCTACCTGGGTTAACTTAATAGTCAAGAGTTGTATTTTATTATTTTTTTTTAGTTGTCAGATTTTGAGATTTCCAGTGAGGTAGCAGATTCACACCCAACTTCTAAAATCAAAATATCAAGATTTTGATGATTTATGTTATACTTTTTATAGACAATGAAGGCTATACAAGCCTGTGGCCTGTTCATTCTTTAAAATTAGGTGTAGTAAAGGAATATGCTTACAGTATCTTATAATTTTTCATTCACTTGCATTTTACAAAAATGTCATTTTTGCCAAAATGAAAGTTGTCAGAATAAACACAGTCTGAATATATTTCCAAAGACTATCCTTCTGTTGCTCTGGCAACAGCCTCTTTTCTCACCATCTGTTTCAGTGTCGAATAGATCCAGCCAGGCAGGGTTGATAGAAAGGGGGCATGGGGAGAGAAAAGACTGATGTTCACAGCTGCAACAAGTTCTTGGCTGAGGCTGGGGCTGACCAGATGCTCTTACAGACTGGCCAAGAGGAGAGAAAGCAAGTCAGCTGCTTCAAACACATAAACTTTCTCAACCATAGGTCCAAGGACCATGACTGCCATTTATGTTGGCTTGAATTGCCTGGTGTACACCTCTAATAGGGAAGAAAGAGACCACTGAGCATCCCTTACAGATCAC